TCCGTCCTCTCCAATCAGGCTCTAGTATAACTTTGTTTAGTGTATTTGATTAATTGTTTTCTTTTGTGTTTTAGGCTGTTGAGTCGGGAGGCTAGCTGTTCTAGTACCCTGGTGGTGGTGTTGGAGCACGGAGTGTGGATTGCCGTTTGTGATCACTCACCTCACCTCACTCTGTCTGTGTGTGTGTGTGTGTGTGTGTGTGTGGTTTAACAATAATCACTCTACAGCTAGCCTACCTGGCTACGGGTAAGCCTTAGCCGTTTTAGTTACTTGTCTTTGTGTGGTGTACTGAGCCGTGGTTGTTTAGCTCATTTGAGCTACATTTTGTCTGTTTTCTAGTGTTTTATTTGATTATTGTGAACTTAATAAACATTTTGTATATTGATACCTATGTCTCTGCCCTCCATGGTAACGAACCTGTGTGTCTGATTTTTTTACCAAGTATTCAGTTTCCCTTACTTTAAAGGGGTAGCGTAGTCAGCATTATTACATTTTCTTAAGGTTTTGGTATTCATAGTGTAATTTACCCCCTGTAGCTACACTACATATATATGAATTTTCTAGACAAAACTGACATGAGCCGGAACAGGCAGAAACTGTTGACTTGACTTCATATGATATCATACACACTTTTTTCCATGCTTTGCTAATGGTGAGTGTATTTTGCATTTCTGGGAATAACACTTTTCGAGATTTCTTTTTTTTTTTTGTCAGACTTGTATGACTTTGTCAGATCTGTATGAGCATTGTAGTAGCCACATTATTTGTGCCTTAAATGTCTTTATTGTGACTTTAAATGATAGCTTTGTGTGACAGACATTAAATGAGGCATTATGAAGTGTTACAGTGAAATTCAGTTTGACCAGATTCGTCCTTACTGAATCAGGTGTTCAGGAGTTTGTGTAGCCAACATTTGTTTGTGTGTATCACCATAGCAAAGGACAGAATCACAGCAGTATTTAAAGCAACAGCTCTACACAGGAAGTGAGAGGAGAGAAGTCTCGAAGATCAGCATTTTGCAGGAGGTGTCTTGTTTATTGTGTTCATAACAACATTAATGATGACAACATAACCAGTGTTGGGGAAAGTTACTTGTAAAAGTAATGCATTACAATATTGCATTACTCCATAAAAAAAGTAACTAATTACGTTATGTAGTTACTTTTTATGGAAAGTAATGTGATACGTTACTTTTGCATTACTTTTTAAATCTGGATAGGGCTTGCTTGCTTGTTTTTAAAATAAAAAAGTTATATTTTTGGCAAATATAAAAGCCTTTTCACACCAAAAGTGAAATGAATAAGCCTCAGGCTGAAGGGAAAGTAAATTTACGTCCGTACAGTAGAATGCAGAAGAAGAAATTTCAACACACTTCAGCATTTTGTGAGTGAGATTAATTAATGCATATTCATATTTATTTTGAACTACAGTAACATCTTCTGATTTCTCTCAACATGGGGACAGGAGAGCTGTCAATCAATAAATTTAAAAAAAAAAGTAACTTGTGTTACTTATTTGAAAAAGTAACTCAGATATTCTCTTGTAAATTAAAAAGTAATGCATTACTTTACTAGTTACTTGAAAAAAAGTAATCTGATTACGTAACTCGCATTACTTGTAATGCGTTACCCCCAACACTGAACATAACTGTGAACACAACAGCAGTGACATAAATGAAGCATCTGTCCTGTTTTCAAAAAGCAGTTTCTGTTTTTCATGAGAAACTTGAAATGCAGCTAATAATGTCAGTTGTGTTTGTCAGCTGTTGTTGCTTTCTGTTGTGAATCTTGATCTGAAAAGTCATTTGGCTTAATTATTTCATGAAGTCACTGATCTGGCTAATGAATGCTGGTGTGGTAGATGTGCTGCCTCTAATTTGTACTAAGTGAATAAAAAAAAAAATACTGCATTATAGTATTTTTCACCATTAATTTGTGTAAAGCATTCATAAGAATTTGTGGGGAAATGTGTTTAAAATAATGTCACAGTGAAACAAATCTTGATCATGCTTAAATAGGCTTTATGTATTTTTTATTTTGTTTTATGCCTGGATATTTTGTGCGATTCACTGGGTGCAGAGGCTCTTTGTGAGCTCACAGTAGCTGTCACATGTAGTTCTTGGAAACTTTGATATTCAACTTGCCAAAATTATTTTATCATCTTTGCTGCTACTCACACAAAATGACCAACAAATGTTTCAAATATGAAAAAAAAAAAAAATTATAATAATAATAATTTGACTGCCAATATACATGTTAACGGTGACGAGAAGCAGTAGCAGGGTAATTTGGAGTTGAGGGATGATTCAGGAGTTATGTCAATCACTTACCAAACAAACATACTCACAGTGTCAGACACATGGAGACCTGAGAGAGAGAGTGAAGGGAGATGTAGAAGGGTGTGGTTATTCATGCACTTCCCTTTCCTCTGATCTTTATTAGTTCTGACACTCAAATCTCACCTCCAATAGTCCAAACTTGCAGCAGACTCTAAGCTCTACTATACACCGTCTGGATTCACATACAGATTCCTCACCAGCCATCAGGATGTGGGTTATACTGTTGGGTCTCGCCTCTGCATTACTGGCCTCCTCGAGATCAGAAGATACCACGGGTAAGAAGACTCGTCAGAGGAACATTACACATCTTTCTGACTATTAATTTTACAGAGTATGAATGGAGCAGCGCTAAGTGTGTGTCTGAGGACAGATAAACAGCTGCTCACTCGTTTGTTACAGAGGAAAGGGAGATATGCTGAGCAGTTGTACATTTCAGTACTACAAAAACAAACCAGTAAAGAGCCAGAGGAGTTTAAGCTGTTTGAAAAACAAGTGAAAGAAAGATTCTGGTTCCAGATTTTTCCTCACATTAAAATATTCAGCTTGTGTTGTAGCATCTCTGTGCCCCCTCCACCCTCAAAAATGCACTCTCTGTTTTCATAAGCAGTAACTGTGGTAACATTTTGTTCTGAAGTTTGTCACATGTAGTTCTTGGAAACTTTGACGGTTGACTTGCCAAATCTGAGTTGCATGAATAAATCTGACAAATCTTGCTCCTGTGGTGTATTATATTATATCATTGATCTCTTCTTCACATCTTAAATCCCGTCTCAGGATCTTTGTGTGTGAACTATTGATGAAAGCAATACTAATCCTTAATGGAGAACAAAATGAAGCTCGCTCAGTTACCACCTGCTTACACACCTCTGTTTTACTTGGACTTCACCCCCTTTCACATTGTGTGAGATTTTCAGGAGTTTTGTGTAAAAACTCAGCATGAAAGATGTCAGAGTGAGATGTGTTGGTGTGTTTGTTTTGAGGGAATGGTGGGAAACTCTTTGTTGGCTGGAGAGACATGCTACTTCATAGTAGTACATTTCAGCTTTTCAAAAGAAAGCCAGCGAGAGTTTCAATGGTATCAAAACTCAGGGAGTCAAAATCAAAAATATTATATTAAACAAAACATTTAGTCTAGAGGCAAATAAAGATGATAAATTAATAACAACAAATAAACAAATAATGAACAAAAATGAAATTAAAATAAAGGTAATGGTAAAGGTCCAGCTGTCCAGCAGAGCACAACTTTAGGATGATCTAACAAAGGAACCGGGCTCCTCCCTAAACCAGGACAGATCAAAAAAACAAAAACAACCAGACCTGTAACATGAGTGAAACAGACTTGTCAGAAAGAAAGAAAGTAAATACAGGACAGAGTGCAGAATTTTACGGTCACTGGAAGGTGAGAATTATGATCAAACAATATTTACTGATGGATCTGCAGAGAATCGTCTTTCTGTGAGTCATCAATCCCAGATGAGAGAGAAGCAGACAGTGGTTGAAGTTCATTCTCATCAGATTGCATTTTAATAGAAAAGTAATAGAAATTATGATGATTATATCAAAATAACATGAAGTAAATGTCTGAATACATCAATAATTCACCAATGTGCGCTCTTTTTAATGAACCCTCTGGTGCTCCTCATTTGGGAGTCACACGTGTGATCTTCACAGTCAAAAGTGACCAGACACCTAAAATTGTACTTCCCCTACTCTATTTTGAGATAATTTCATGGTACTAATTAATATTTATGCAATAATTATGATCAATTTCTTCCCATTGAAAATGGTACAAATTTTAAAAAATATATATTTTTATATTACTTTTCAATTAATGCAGTTGGCATTGCTAGTGCCTCGCTTGACCATTTAAGATGCAGGAATGATGGCAAAAAGAGCTCAGTACCAAAACTTACATGATTGTATACACTGTAAAAAAATATTTTTTAGAAGTTGTACATAAAACAAATATTATTGGAATATGTTTTAATTTAAATAAATGTTTTATTTAAAAAAAAAGTAAAATATATTTTTATATTACTTTTCAATGAATGCAGTATTTCATGTTAAAATAGAGTCAATGCCTTTAAAATCCAATTTTTGAAGCCAGATTAGTGCCATCTGGTTGGGGTAAAATAAGAAAAACATCTGCAATTCCATGGTTTAGCCACTAGATTCCTATATAGCTCTATATAAAAGGCCTATAAATTCTCTAATTGTTTTAGACATAAATACTTATTTTTATTAAGTTGTGGGTTTAGACATATATTTAGACATTCTCAAAGACAACTTTTTGTAAAGGTTTAGTTTTTGTTTTTAAATGATGATATGAAGCATCAGTTTTTGAATTATTATTACTACAGTCAAACCTGAACACAGAGAAAGCATTTTGTTACACAAAACATTAAAATTCTATAAAAATGTAACAAAAATGAACAGGAATGTTTTATTAGAGTTTAATTCTTCTAGGTCTGATCTGATTTCAGTTTTCTGACTCGTTTTGGCTATATGTGTATAGCCATACCAATTCATTTGAGTGTGTATAACTTGTGTATGTGTGTATGTGTGTGTGTGTGTGTGTGTGTGTGTATGTGTAAGTGGATGCATCTGTTTTGCACTCTTGATGTTTTAGAGTTTCACCCCGTCATTGTTGTGTACTTTTTTCTGCATTGTGGCAGATTTGTAGATTGTACACACAAAAATTCTGAGATTTTTGTCAATTTCCCATTCATTTCCTATGGTCGGTCATTTTTGACCGAAGACCACAAGTGTGACTATTTTTTTATGATCACTTAGTCTGCTCGAATCATGCCCTTAATTTTTTGTGTGTTCACATTCCAAATGCCATAAAATCACCAAGTTTCGTACCATTCCGATGAAGCTGTGATTTTTAAAAATTCAAAACAGAAAATTCTTCGGTCAAAAGTGACCGAAGAGCACCAGAGGGTTTTAAAAGCTCAAATGGAATTTGTGTATCAAAGCCCTGTGATCAAAAATAAATGGGAGCAATTAAATATTAAAATGATTATTTAACTGTTTAAAGTTCCTCAAGATCAAATAAGAATACATAATTATTCTGTAATTGTTACAGAATTAACAGAATTAATTATTACAGTTAATTGCACCCCACTCAAATTGCCCCTGGATACACATATTTCTACATCTACATGGTATCCATCATCAGAGTAGAAAACTTGAATTGTGCCACAGAGAACCCAGGCCATCCCCCTACTGACTGGCACTCTCTTGAGGCAGTTAAAAAAAAAAAAAAAACTAAAAACTCTGTGGGTTGAGCTAGTGGCCACCACCTGACTGAAAGCAACCATTGCCAAATTGGCACAAAAAATTGGAGGATGTATTGGTTAAAAAAAAAGAAGAAAAAAAAGCCAAACAGGAATTGAAATCCTCTCTTTCTGTCACTTTTTGTTGGGGGTCTTTCGAGCAGCACTTGTTTGCCTATACATGCCTGCATGTTTACGTCAAGATACTTCAAGTCAGATATCCTGAAGCATCTTTTCACAGGGTTGAGCTACATTCTACCCATGTTACAATCTAAAGTAGAGTTGTACACTCCCCTTGTTTGGTAGATACATTTACATTTGCATTTAGTCATTTAGCAGATGATATTATGCAAAGCGACTTACAAATGAGGACAATATAAGCAATCAAAAACAACAAAACAAAAGAGCTACAATATGCAAGTGCTATTACAAGTCTCGGTTAGCCTAATGCAGTACATGTAGCTTTTTTTTTTATATAAAATAAATAACAATAAAACAGATAGAATAGAAAAGACATAGAGAAAGCTAGCATTAGAGGCCTTTTTTTAAAGAAAACAAGCAGTTAGAAAATGAAGAGATTGCAAGAGATCAAGAGAGGGTCAAGTGTTTTTTTTAATAAAAAAAGAAAACAAATAGATAAAATAGAATTATAATAGAGAGTGCTAGATTTAGAGGGTCAAATAAAGATTGAAGAAAGCCATTTCTTGAAGATGGCTAAGGACTCAGCTACTTGGATTGAGTTGGGCAGGTCATTCCACCAGTAGGAAAGAGTTAAAGGAACACACCACTATTTTTGAAAATAGGCTCATTTTCCAACTCCCCTAGACTTTGCTGCCGTACCATGGGTGCAGCAGGTGCAATGATATTATTACACAGCGCCTGAAAATAGGCTTATTGGAAGTCACCTAGCTGGGACTATTTTCAGGCACTGTGTAATATCATTGCGCCTGCTGCAATGGTACTGCAGCAAAGTTCCTTGATTATTACGCCGGAATGAGAGTATAGTTCCTAGCCATATCGGCCTAGAAAATCGCAACTTTTCATTTTCCGTCGGTTTTAGTACACGATGTAACTACAGAAGAGTCAAGTTTTAAATAGGAAAAATATCGAAACTCTTTGGTCATTTTTGAGCGAGATGCTAACGGTCTAATCAGATTCAATGATCTATGCTAAGCTACAGTTAAAAGTGCTACCGCCAGACCCGGAGAACGGCTGAATGGATTCGAAAACGGTTAAACTCAACTGTTTAACTCTAGGGGAGCTGGAAAATGAGCCTATTTTCAAAAATAGTGGCGTGTTCCTTTAATGACAAAATAATAAATACATACCCCTTTAGGGTTGATGCAGGGTAAACAGAGTTATTTAGGCCAATGTGGATTCTCTCTACTTCGTTTACCTCCCTCCCCAACTACTGTTGGGTTTTGAAGTAGGGATGTATGCTCCCTTTGGATGGGGCTTCATAGGCCTCTCTAGTATGACCCATGTTCAAGAACCAGGCAATTAGAGATAGTTGGTCTGCAGGGCATCTTATTGCATACTGTAGTTAGCGTTGGAGTCCTGGAGAAGTGCCTTTATTTAAGTCAGGGTTGAGCTGTTCTCCCACAGTGTACAGGGGTTTTTAAGTAGGGCGTACTGTAAGTTCCCTTGCAGCCTCCTTTGGGGTTGGAATATGGCAGATGTGAGTTAGTGAGGAAGGCACTCCCTCAGCATGGTGAGTGGACATTGCTTCCCCATAATGTCATAGACGCCGCGTCAAAGTTCCGCTTTGAAAGGGAACCTCTAAGTTATGACTGCAACCATGAATCCCTAAAAAGGGGAACGAGAAGCGGCATCCCATTGCCATGCATTGGGTTTGCCTGCACGTCTCCTTCAGACAGATTTTGCTGAATGTGTTTTGCAGACACGCGTTTATACTTAAAAGGGGGCTTTTGGGGCTGTAACCTATACAGCTGTAACCAGGGGGCGCCAGAGCATATCAGGCACGGCACAAAGAGTGATTAAAAAATTTAATATAAAGAATTATTTCATGATTAGTCATTTCAATCAACACATTATACTGGAAATAAAACTTTAAAGGGATAGTTCACCCAAAAAAAAACAAATTCTGTCCTTAATTACTCACCCTCATGTTGTTCCAAACCCATAAGACCTTTGCTCATCTTCGGAACACAAATTAAGATATGTTTGATGAAATCCAAGAGCTTTCCGACCCTCCATAGACAGCAAGGTGTTCCTGGTATGCAGTGGTTAGGACCTACTAAAAGTGGTGCAAGTGTTCTTCTAACAAATGTAAAAATGAGCTTGAAGAAAGAGGAGTCATTTTATTAGTTTGTGTAAACTGAACAAGAATACCCTTAACATGTTAATAACAAAAATTATTTTGTTGATCTTACTGAGACACCAAAGTATTTGTCCAAATGCTGTCCCAAATGAAATCATCTCAATCGTGATCTTAATGTATCTTAAGTCATCTGAACAAACAATTTCACAATGAACAAAGCATGCATTGCATCACCTTATTTGTGTGTTTTTAGATTTCATATGTTAAATGTTCCTTTCGTCTTCTTAGGACTTTGGTGTTACTTTGTTCGTGTTTCTGTTCTCTTGCTCTCAGTGTTCCTGGTTATTTGTTTGTTTTATTACTTTCATTAAAACTCCTGCAGTTCAATCTTCGCCTCTGCCTGCCTTCTCTCCCCCATAGTACCATATATTTGCCTGTCAAGCTACTACCCTTAAGAGGCAAATAATATAAAGGCAATATTATAGTAAGCTTTGAAAATTAAACATAAAATTAAAGAATGACTGTCACTAATGAGGCATCTATGTCATACAATATCTATGCATTCACCCTCAGTTTCAGTCGTCATTTGTCAATTCATGTTTTAACATTTGTTAAGTAGTTCAGTGTTTGTACTCTGATGGTTGGACTAGCTTCTTCTTCCTGTGTTCTACTTGTTTTCTAAAATGTCCTCATGTTGTTTTAAGGAAATAAGTCTGCGATTAGATCCATGCCTCACCTGCTCCATCCAGCCCAGCAGCGTGACATCTAAATTTGCCAGACAGATGTGAAATGTTATTAATTGTTCCCAAAGCTCTTGATCTTTATGTGCTGTCAGCTTCTTTCCCTCTTTATGATTAAAGCTCAAATCTGCACTAAACATTCAGTCTCTATCACTGTTTCCTTTCTCTCCCTTCTTCTGCTATGTTTCAGAAAATCTTGCTTCTTGAGTGGCACTGTATCAATAATATTGACTCATTACTATCGTTAATGCCCTGTTTCTCCTGTAGCAGTGCGCTCACGGAGCTGCAGCTACGCTGGAGTGTTTCACGTGGAGGGGAGAGAACGCTATAGTCTGACGTTTGAGGGGGCCAGGAGGTTGTGTGAGCTTTTATCCTCTTCATTAGCCTGTCTGGAGCAGGTGGAAATAGCCTACAATAAAGGACTACAGACGTGCAGGTTCTTACATTCAGCTGAACAGATCTAAATAACAATTACACTTTCAGGATCATTATTACCGTGGGCTCCACCTAAATATAAATGTACATTTTGCCTGCAGGTATGGATGGATAAACAGCACAGAGGTGGTGATACTCCGTCACATCCAAAATATAAACTGTGCTGGCAACCAAACCGGCATCATCAGGAAAACTCCAGACAGAAAAAAATACGACGCATTCTGTTATGATGCTACAGGTTTGATTTGTACCATATGCTGCAAGTTTTAATCAACACACAATCAATTATCTTTTTAACGAAACATTGCATTTTAATCAGATACGTCAGAGAAGAACTGCGCAGCTAAGATTGACCCTGATGGCTTAAACAAAACAGATGTCTCAGCATTTACAGGTACGACAGTACATTTTGAATGTATTTGGAAGGCACTTTTGTCTGAAAAAAAAAGTATATTCAAGGTGTGCATTTTATCCGAAGATATGAATCAAACCCATTAACAGGATGTTTACATTTAATGTACACTTTTATATTTAATGTTTGTTTGTTTTTTAGCACACATTATTTTTACACTTGCTTAAAATGGTTGATTAGCTCTTTTTATACATATGCTACAGTGCCTTTTGCATTGGCACTGCAAACTTAATGTAGATTTTTCCCCACTAAACAGCAGTGAGCGACGAGCACAGCAAATGATTTCACATTGAAACAATGGAGAAATAGTTTTTTGCCTTTTATTATAAATAGTATACATTTTATTTGTATAACCCTTTTTGCTGACATTTAAAACATTAAGGCTGGAATACACTACATTACTTTTAAAATCTGAGCAGATTTTAAAACACGGCTTCATACACTTACCGACTTTGTAAATAGTCACAGAAGAAAAACTGGCCATCACACACTAAATGACTGAGGAACACACACTACTCACGCAGAAACGTGCGCCTTGTTGCTAGGAGATGCGTGACAAATGAAAACAATATATCGGCTCAAAATATCAAACATGTTTGATCTCCTCTGACTGGATGGAATCAGAGTCTGTGACCATCATTTCAATGAAATCTGTCAACTCAAATCTGCAAACTGGCTCTGACTTTCGGCATCTAGTGTCAACTTCTACAGACTGTAAATCAACCGAAAATCATGGCAAAAATTGTGTAGTGTATTCCAGAATTTACATAAACAGGAGAGGTGACAGGTATTGTAGACGTAAAGTCTAAAAACGGAATTATCTTGGAAACAGCAGCCAATCAATTGTTTTAACTGTCATACTTGAATTCTTGAATAAAATATCACATTTTATCTCTTAAGCAGACAAGTTCTGTAGACCAGTGTTATCTTTGAGTTAATGTGTACATGCATCAGTTTTACTTGTTCCAGAGTTTCAGGAAAAACCCTGTCGAACTTTCCATCCGTGCACAGACCGATTTATTTCTTTAAAAATGACCACATAAATGCTAAGCTGTTTTGATTTGTTAGTTTTGCCATTAATGCTGGTTGTCTAATAAATTCATATAAATATCTATAAGACAGCAAGTTGCAGTTCTGCATAACTGTCATTTGACAGAAGTCACAACACACCAAACAAATGCTGGAGGGGAAGAGTCTGAAAATGTAACATCTGAAGACACATTTGTGTCTGAGTCGTCTACTCCAGTTCACTGGACGCAGAGCAGCCCCACACAGAACCCTGTGGAACAGAACCGCACTGATCAGACAGATGATCCGGCAAACCCTGATACACATGATGTGGAGTTCACAACTTCCTCAGGGCTGAGTAGGACAGCATCTACCAGTGAAACACCAGCAAGTAAAGCAGGTGACATTTTTTGTTTAAAGTCATCATGGGAATTTTAGCCATATCTATTTTATCATCAGTTCATACTTTACAAAATATAATACACTGCTCTGTATCTTAATTGTATGTAATTGTTACTGAAAACGACTTCTGCCCTCTTCTTTAATCTATTCTGTTACTGTGCTTCTGTATTTTTTTATTACATTATATTTTGTATTAATTCTTAGACTACTATTTGCTTTAAGAAGCCTAGATTGACAACATGTCACCAGGGTGTGAATTATAAGGCAGTCTACCCTGTTGAAAAAAAACAGCATATGCTCGTTAGGTATGTTTTGAAGCATGACTGCTGGTCTTGAGCTGGTTAATGTTGGTCATGTGCTGGTCCTAAGCTGGTCCTGAGCAGCTTAAACCAGCTCAAACCAGAACCTATGCTTCAAAACATACCTAATGAGCATATGCTGCTTTTTTTCAACAGGTTTAGGTCAGGGATCTTCAACAACTCCAGTCCTGGAGTGCCGGTGTCCTGCAGACTTCACTACCAATCCCAGTTTTAACCCTGCAAACAAGCCTGCACTGCCCCTTTACGGGCCCACTTAGGGCTGCCAGCGCAGGGCCCCTGAGAATTTGCTCATTGGCAAAACGTTGGCCCCTTAGCACTGGCCCTGCACGGGCAGCCCTCACTTAGCCTTCGTTTTATTGAAAATAATAAAGTTTGAAGTCACCGTTATGGAGGTAAGCGCTTGCTTTAGTTGGGTTCCTGACCCTTGACTTTTTAACTTCAGTTTTTTTTTGGTTGCTCTAACTGTGTTTCTGAAGCTTATTTATTATTGCAAAAGTTGTGAGAAGAAAAACTGTTCTGGTGATTCAGTCATCATGTAGTGGCCAGATTCCCTGATCTTGATCTCTGAGCACATTATTTAGATTTAATTATTTCACTATAGCCCTAGAATTCAAATTCAATAATTTGAACATTAAGTCTTCTTGTGATAATTATTAGGATGGGATCATGTTGACTCACACAGATATCAAGATTCAGTGTATGAACCTCAACAATGGTGACAATCAACAAAATATTCAGATCAACGCTGAACATCAGAAAATTGAAGTTCATACGCTGATCTTGATATCTGTGTGAGTCTACATGAGCCTGTCCAAAGAATTTCTATATAATGACTTAAAAAATATTCAAAATATTAAAGCAGGACAAAAGCAGTGATATCCTAGGGCTACTATAAAGTGAAATCATTAAATCTAAGTAATGTTCTCAGAGATCATCCTCTGGATGAGATCAGGGCACTACATGACGACCGAGTCATCAGTAAATAACCATCACCATCTGATCAGTTTGTCTTCTCACAACAAAACACAATTAGGGCAACAAAAAAACATTAAAGTCAAGAGGTCAAGGGTCAAGAGACCAACTAAAGCAAGCACTTACCTCCATAACGGTGACTTCAAACGTTATTATTTTCAATAAAACAGCGCTAAGGCTTCCTGGAGGCTAAGTGAGGGCTGCCCGTGCAGGGCCAGTGCTAAGGGGCCAACGTTTTGCCAATGAGCAAATTCTCAGGGGCCCTGCGCTGGCAGCCCTAAGTGGGCCAGTGCAGGTTTGTTTTCAGGGAGCCCATCTGTCTATAATTTGCAAGCAATTCTGAACAGGCAGGTTTCCAGTCCTGCTCCTGCAGAGTTCAGCTCCAATCCCACTTAAACACACCTGAACCAAAGTAATCAACTCTGACTAGGCATGCTAGAAACTTCCAGACAGGTCTGTTGAGGCAAGTTGGAGCTAAACTTTGTAGGACAGTGGCCCTCCAGAACCGAGAGTGTGTTAAACTCAGCAGAACACTGTCCCTTAACGACTGGAGTTAAAAAGCCCTGTTTTTGGGGGTCTGATCACTATCCTCGATGGATGGGGAAAATGAAGGGCTGTGGCATTTCCAAAGTACATGTACAGTACAGTCGTAATGCTACTCATTAAGTACAGCTTTGTCTGAATTAAACTTGTAATATAATTTCGACCACCCCGAAACACAATCTGTTATCGACATGAGTAAATTTAGCAACCACATGCAAAACCAAAGGCATTGACAGAAAACAGAACAATGGGTATGGAGTCTCATAACTGTGGAAGTAGAATTTTTAATCCCATGAATACATTTGCAGTACAAATACAAATGCAAAACAAAGATGACCCTGAGTGTTGTTGATATTAAATAAATCTGTTAAAATAGCCTTTGTTTAAAGCAGCATATGTTTAGTTAAACCACACGTTTATCAGACGCTTGTGCCTAACAGCTTTCGGTTGTCTAAAAATTGTAAATATCTATTTGATTATTTGCTGACAGCAGACAAACCAGCAGTTGTCCTCACATACTGGGAGAACACGAAAAGGGAAACGCATGAAAATATATATTTTGTTTATTAAGAACACACACCCAAACCTCTGCCATTGTGATTCTTTTGTAATTTGCACTCTGACTTGCACAACAGCATTGCTTTTTCTTTATTGCTTGGTTTGAAATAACATGTAATTTGTTCTAATCCTCTTACAGACTGGCTCATCATCATTTTACTCACCATTTTGGCCGTTCTTCTCATTCTGCTTGTCTGTGTTATTGTAGCAAACAGAAAAAGGTATGTTGTAAGTACAAAAATACCACCAGCCTCTCACAATACCCACACTTGTCAATTTGTACTTGTCTACTTGTGCTATGTACTGCTGGTAATTCTGGCCACTGTGTGAAAGTGTGATCTTGAATGTGTGTAAAAGAACATTTGATTGCCAACTGGTTTTAGAAACCACAATATCATAGCTGTCGTGTAGGTGAACATACGCTGCTTTTCTCAAGAAGGAAGGCTTGTGGTTTCCAAAATGCAGCACTTCAAAGTTGCTAGGGTTAGGGTGTGTTAGTGTTGCTGTTTTTCAGACCTGGCATCGTCTTGCTTGTACTTCCGCTCTATGGGCCTCATTCGTGAAACACGAGCAGAACAAATTTTTGTGTAAATCGTTCGTAAAGCTGTTCTGACGTAAATTTTCAGAATCATAAAAGTGTTCGTATGTTCAAAATGTTAGTTGGTACGAAAGAAATGTACACCTGCTCTTTACCAGGTGTAAATGGTGCGTTCTGTGTTCTCTTTGGCAAACTGATGACACTGAATTGTGATGCACTGCCATCATAATATTTTGCAAGCTCGTTTGCTCTGTTTTTGTTTTTTGTAGCTGGGAGTTGATAAACTGTTTAGCTTTGGGTAAAACGCAGCGCTTGTCACTTTCACTTTTTACCCAGCCGTCTAATCAGTGGACAAGAGGCGGGACAAATACTACACCGACCAACCATCCTACTTGTACAACAGCTGAACAACAATAGAGAAGTTAACATTGCTGGTTACTGCATTTTTATATTCAGTAATATTCTTCAAAATGAGATACTAGTAATGCGTTACTGCCGTGGATATTCCAAATTATAGCAATCAAAGCGTCTGGAAAAACGCTGTGCCACCAAAGCGTCCTCCAGCGCCACCAGCTGGTCGTTTTCAGAAGAGCGCCTGACATTTTTCAGCTGACTAAAAACGCTTTGGTGGACACACGTTATTGAATATTTATTGTTAAGCATATGGCCTAACAATATGGTCTTTGTTGCATTTATGCAATATACTGGAGCCAAACCTGAGAAAGTAGACCAGAATATTCCACTGCGTTCCTGGACATGCAATTTGCGTAGCTGTAATGCATTATGGTAATTGTGAATGAGCGTGCACGAGTGCCCTATTTACGAATCATTGGAATTCATTAACATACGCATGTTTAACTATCAAATCGGAAGTTTGCGAAGCGTTTGTGAATCCGGAGGAGAGTTTTCGGGAAGGTCCGTTTTACGCGCAAATTACTCAGAATTTACTCTATATTTACTATATTTACGAATGTTTCATGAATGAGGCCCTATGTGTGCACCCTGAAGTGTGGGTATTGAACAGGCCCTACATGTCTTTAAATCAAGTGCACTTGAACATCTGTGCTCCAAAAGAATAAACAGACAGTAGTCAACAGCTAGACTAGAAAATTTACATAAAACATAACAAAATACAGAAATAAAGAATAGGTTTGGTTTACACTTTCTAACTTTAAAACTATTGGATTTATAAAAAAGCGGCCAGTAATAGATTATTTAAGTTGACAGTGTTATTGGGTTTTAGTGAATGTGCACGTTTTATTTTTCCACAGATGGTGTGGCAAGAAACAGACTCTGATTATTACAAAAGAGAGCAGCAGTGAAGAAAAGGGTGCAGCAGCTTCATTCACTAAGGACCAGGAGATGGTCAAACTCGTGAACACTGAAAAGATCTCAGGGAACGACAACTCAGAGCTTATCGACATCAGTCCGGGGTCGCCGTGATTTTGCCAAGTAAGACATGTTCCTGGATCAACATCTTTTGATGATCCTGGATCAACATTAATGTCCAAAAATATAGACTTAACCCAATCCCTACCCCTAAACCTAACCCTACCCATAATTTATTCCTAAAATCAGTGGGACATGATAGCTGATTAACAAGGTTGTAGAAGCACCTAACCCTGATTGTACTCATAAAACAGATATTTCCTGAAAAGTTTTATCTCTATTCTGATTGGTTGATTGGAATGTTGTTCCAGGATCAACAAGGAAATCACGCTCACCATCAGTCTGGATAAGTGAACGGAGAAACCCCAGAAGAATGAGAACACCAGCAATTTTACGCTAACACCTTACAATACGGATGCACTAATATGCCTTCATTCATGCTGAAATAATGCACAGACAGTCTTGAGATAATGTATGATTTATAAAGAACTAAGCCACTCATTAACAATTACATTAGCATCTAATAAAATGATTGATAAATAGATTAAGGCCCGGTTTCACAGACAGGGCTTAGACTAAACCAGGATTAGGCCATAGTTCAATTAGGACATTTACGTAATTTTTATTAACATGCCTTAGAAAAAAGCATTACTTGTGTGCATCTTGAGACAAAACAAAGGCACTGATAATTATTAAGATCAATTAATTATTATTAAGATCAATCAGTGCAAATTTCTTTCAGTTGAAACAGCTCAGATTTACATTTAATCTGGGACTAGTCTTAAACCTTGTCTGTGAAACCGGGGGTAAGACATATATGAATTGATATGAATTAAATGTGTCATCATGAATTAATTCCCTATCAATGTCTAGCTTTAAATAATAGTGTAAATGAATGCGTTCACCACAGTGAGTCAAAGCATGTACAGTATTCCAACTTCCAGCTGTCTGGTTTGAAAAAAATCATTAGCTGAGAATTTGCAAAGATAACATTGCTATGGCTTGTAGAGGCACCTGACTATTAACTCATGATATTAAGTAATATGCTCCCATGGTTATGATTTTGATCCATTTACCTATCCTTCAAACACATTCTTTGACATTTCATTCACAGCACAACTGCGGATATCAGTTTTTTTTTTAGTTTTTGTTTTCCTGTGTAACTGTATTGTATTTTTTTTATTTAATTAGATGATAAATGTAAATAGGTTAAAAAAATCACAATGCTTGATTAAAAACAAACAGACTAGTACTAGCCTAACTAATATAAATTCAAACATGATTAAACACTAGTGAACAGTCAGTTATTAAAAACAAATAAATTACAAGCAATGACACAAATAAATACAATGGAGCAAATACTAACAAAATAAGTAATTGAATAAAATTATCAAATGTAAAATAATACTGCATATTCGTAACTGTATAAATTATAGATTAAGGCCATGTCCACACGAACACGGGTATTTTTATAAACTGAGTTTTTCCTTCCGTTTTTAAAAAAATCTCTGTCCACATGAAAACGCAAACGCACTGTCAAGAGCGTGCCAAACCAACAGGTGACGATATAATCTCAACCGTAAAGCCATGTTGACCAATCAGAAGCCTGAAAAAGTTTCCAGTAGGCGGAGATAACAGCGCAGGTTTTTAGGCTGTCTGCCAAAAACTCTGGTTTCGCTGTCTACACGATAACACTGCAACCGGAGTTTTTGAAAATCTTCACCCTGGCAGGCGTTTTCAAAAATGTTCGGTGTCAGTGACCTGGTGCTGCGTTTGCGTGTGGACGAACGGCCAAACCGCATAGAAAAAGCTGCGGTTTTAAAAATAACCGTGTTCGTGTTGGCAGGGCCGAAGTCTTGTGAAAGCTACAAAAGTCAAGGGCAGTGAGTGATTTTCTCTTACTGTTTGTTTACCGTTAATGACAGACAGCAGTAAGTGTATTAGGCTGTTTTCTGTCCCATCACCCAATCACAATGCTCATCAGCACATGATATCAATCATCTCATCATCACAGCACACATCTCAGAGACCCACTTTGTCTGGCCGTGTTTGAGAAAGAGTTCCTTACCTGTTTTCTCACATGTCTTCTGAGTATCTTCATGAGCAGCACATTCATCTCTACTTGCCCCCACCTAGACGAGGTGCGCTCCAGTCCTCCGTCACCTTCCACGATCTCCAACATCATCTGCAACACAGTAACAAACTATGCTATCATCCAGACGTCCGTTCCAACCTGCTGCATTTCTGTTTACTTCCCTGTGTTTCATATTCTGCATTGCAATAAACCTGTGTTATTTCCACTGTCCATATGCCTTAAAGTCTGGTGATTTTGTAACGCTGTCACTTTAAGACCTAGTGCACAGATTCAATATAATGAAAACATCTGATTTCTCTCAACCCTTTATGTTCACATGCTCAGTAAGTAAAATCATAGTGTTATCTTTGCCAATTATGACGTAATGATTTATTAATTCAGACAGCTGGAAGTTGAAATACATGGCTTTGAAACATTTTGGTAATTCATTTACACTGTTAGTAGCTTACTAGATGTTGATAGGGAATTAATCCATGATGACACATTTAGTTAACAACAAATCATATATGACTTCATTTATTAATCAGATGAACTCTTTATTCGTTGCTGATTGGGCAATAGTTAGAGAATGGCTTAGTTTCGCATGAGTCATACGTTAGCTGTGTATTAGTTCATCAGGAATTAATGCATGTAAGTGCACAGACTGTAAAGTGTTGCCAGTTTTACATTATAAAAACATGACCAGAGAAAGTGATCGAAGCACGAAAACAGAAGAAAGGAGAACCCTAGAGACTGAGATGGACATAGATCTGAACCAAAACAAAAGGAGGTAATTGTTGTAAAGGTCTATTCTGAATTCTTAATAGCTATTACTGTTTGTGTGTGTGTGTGTGCGTGTGGCATCAAGAGAGCAAACACACATCTATGTTGTACTGTATGCTGTTTCATCTCTCTATGTTTGATTATTTCTTAATATTAATTTTCTATTAAAATATTAAATGACTGGTCACTTTTAATTTTATACTAGTGCCTTTGCTTGGTATAACACTGGTTAAATCAGTGCTAGTCAGATAAGTCAACTGATCATTGAGCAAGAAGCAACTAAGATTATTCAATAAAGTTGTTACTATTACTTCGTCTCCTGCTTTCTGCTCCTCCTTTCAGTTCTCTTCCATTCTGCAAGAGTAAAGTTAAGATGATAATGTGCTCACTGCTTTGAATGCCAGATCAGAACTGAAAATGTGTTCTCGAGTACAAGTACTGTTACATTGCTGAAATATACTCATTTACAAGTACTGGTGTTAAAAAGTACTTAGGTAAAAGTACAAATCACTCTTCCCAAAACTACTCAGAGTTCTTAGTTACATTTCAGCTGGTGATATTTAATGAATTATCGTCAGTAACTACTGAATCAGACAAGATCCAGACAACAAAACACATTTAAAGAATACTAAAAATAATTTTGAAACTTTGTAAACACTATGAACTTTACCCAGTGCCCTGAAAACAAACAGCTGGGCAAGGGCCTTACTTGGACAAACTAACACATCTCGAACAGTTCACCCTCTGAACCTTTTGTTCAGTTTCAGCAGAAGCTGGTTTTCTAAGTTCTATGTGGCTTCGTATGGTTGTGAATAATAATAGACCAGCACCGCTTTAAAGCCGTTTGCATGCAGCTTAGGCTGTGTTTAATTTAGACAGCTGCTTGATGGCTGGGATGGAGTGAAGCGAGTGTCCGAGGCACACGCAAGGTATCCATCAAGCTCCACTGGACTTTGCAACTTTGTGGCGAGTGGTCTGGAGAAGAAATCATTGTCATCGGGGGCCTCATTTATAAAGCGTGCGTACACTCAGATTTGATCTTAGAGTGTGCGTACGCTTAAATCCACGCCAACGCTCATATTTGTAAAAACTGGCTTTGACGTGGAAAAGTGCTTAGCGTCACGTCTGGGTTCAAGCAGACGTACACACTTTTACTTGGAGTACTGCAGGTTTTTGGAAATATAAGCTGTTCTTGCAGCTCACTGTTCTAAACGAAAGAATTTGGATGGTGACTGGTGATCTTTTACATGTTAATGAGATTAATTAGGAGTCGTTTACAAGCAGAGAGCTGCGAGTGGTCTGGAGAAGAAATCATTGTCATCGGGGGCCTCATTTATAAAGCGTGCGTACACTCAGATTTGATCTTAGAGTGTGCGTACGCTTAAATCCACGCCAACGCTCATATTTGTAAAAACTGGCTTTGACGTGGAAAAGTGCTTAGCGTCACGTCTGGGTCCAAGCAGACGTACACACTTTTACTTGGAGTACTGCAGGTTTTTGGAAATATAAGCTGTTCTTGCAGCTCGCTGTTCTAAACGAAAGAATTTGGATGGTGACTGGTGATCTTTTACATGTTAATGAGATTAATTAGGAGTCGTTTACAAGCAGAGAGCTGAAACCATTCATTTGCACGCAAGTTCAAGATCATTTGTGATTCATAGATTTCACATCTGAAAGAGAGGCATAGTGCGTTTTCTGTACGTACGTTCATTTTATGAATCACAAGTACACATATTCGAGAAATGATCATAAGATCAATTTTAGGATGGTTTCTGCGCAACATTTTATAAATGAGAAGAAAAACAAATAGAGGACAATCAACGTTGTCAGCTGGCTCTACTGGCACGCATTCTGTTTTACAGTGAAAAACGAAGTATAACAAAGAATATGGGTGCTGTTCTCTGCTTTCATGGCATGTTTGTGGCTGCCAAGTTTCAGCTATAGATGCACGCAACATCCGGTAGGTGACGCTTGCTTGCTCTCATTGGCTATCGCGGGTATCTCGTCAGAGGCAGCCAGATCAAGAGTCGTAAATATCAAACATGTTTGAGTTCGGCGACGCTCCGTCTCGATCGGGAGCAGATAAATAATCGTAATGACACCACACAATAGAGGATTTTATGGACAAAAAATTGTTTGCGACCAGCCTTGAATCAGGCCTCACCCCTCGATCGTTCGGGGATGCAAATCGGGCTTAAAATCTGCCTTAAAATCGTCTAGTGTGCAACCAGCCTTAGTTGGGCTCTTGACCCTCGATTTGCTGTGCTAAATCTACCTCTGAAGCAATGCATGTGGTGTTATAAAGCACAGAAATCAGTGTTCTATAATGAGGAGATATTAGCTGTTTTTAAATGATGAAATATTCATCACAAGCTGGAGCTTAAATTCAAGTTTCAAGTTTTCAATTCAAGTTAGCTCTACCTCCTTTAGTGGACTTTGCTATCCTAGGTACTACCAAAAGTCCAGAGTAGTATAAAATAATGAGCTATGTAAAGCACATAATAATTTGAACACTAGTTCTATTTAGACTGCAGATGCAAATTAGCTTTATAGCTAACTCGGGTACAACACTGTTGTTGTGCGTTGTCCTTATACAAATAAATCGAATAAAGAAAGAAAGACACACAGAGACATCAAGAACCAGCATATGAATCTCAACAATGGTGACAATCAACACAATGCTTCATGCTGCAATGCATGCTGGGCAACAACATTGTTAATCTAGATTT